TAATTTGTGATTTTTACGTAACTCACAAAACGACGGTAAATTATCAGAATTCATATTCCTTAATAACCATACATACCCAAAAATTTGTTTATCAGGTATCTACATTAAAGTCTATATCACTATGTAATGGTTTATAGAACAAGGTAGCACTTGATAACCCGCAGTGTGACCAATATGCGTAACAAATATTGTTCTTACTAAACTATATTGACACCAGCCAATGCTAATGCCGCGGCGCGCTAATAAGTACCTAAGACATTTTATTGTAATATATTATAACAGAAAAAAATGCGATTTCAATTTTCTCATTTTTCGTTTGATTTATTTTAATTTTTTTATTTAAGAAAATTTACAATCTATATACAATTTAATATAATAAGTAAATGTGTTAATAGTTACTAGACATGAACACTTGAGGGAAGGGAATGTTCAGTGATACTACTTCCAATTAACTTGGGGGTAGGTAAATTTATAAAAGTACTAATCATTGTTTAATAAATCACGCGGCCATTTGCGTTTGAGACGACGGAGAGGGTTGTCAGGAATTGTATAAGAAGAGAGTTTAGATATGAGCGGGTTTGAATGGTTAAAGGTGTTTTTATGGAATTTGTTATAGTGATGAGAGGCAAGTGAGGATATTGGTGGTATATTGAGGTCTTGGTGTAGAGTGCGGTTGCTGACGTACCAGGGAGCATTAGATAGGACACGGAGAGATATAGATTGGAATGCTTGGAATTTGATTAAGTTCGAGTTTTTCGAGGTACCCCACAGTTGGATTCCGTATGTCAATGCGGGACGTAAGATTGATTTATAAAAAAAAATTTCAAAATATCTAAAAACGTCATAAAGCTGTTTTTGATATTTAAAAATAAACCGTAGTCAAATTTTTATGAACGGTATACAAACAAAAAAGCTTTATGACGTTTTATGACGATATTTTGAAATTTTTTTAAAACAGACGAAAATCGAAATTTCAGTTTTTTTCTGTTATAATATATTATAATAATTTAATGTCCTAGATACCTATTAGCGCGACTCGGCGTTAGCGTATAACTGGTGTCAATACAGTTTAGTAAGTACAATATTTGTTACGCATATTGGTCACACTGCGGATTATCGAGTGCTACCTTGTTCCATAAACCATTACATAGTGATATGAACTTAGTCGCTTACTCGTTTTTCACGTTTTTTATTTCCAAACCCAAAAGTCATACTTTAACTACAATTTCTTATTATTAGTATAGCAACTAACTTTAGTCTTCACAGACATAAGATAGACCACCTATTATATCTTAGCCCATGATTAGTACGTAATTCGTAAATTGTTTGAACGGTTGCTGAATGGTGAGGATAAAAACAGTTAAACACTGCAATACTGCATATATCTATGGAACGTGCGTGTGCATGTGGTGCTACAAATTGGTAATTCTTATCATCGAAAACCACGGTTATGGATAAACCATAAAACTGTAGTAGAATGATTAACTAATCAGTTAATCACGTGTAGTAGTCACAGATTATCTATATTATACATTTATAATATAGATATCGGTGGTAGTTGTATGTAGCACGGATCTCAGATCACATACCATGGATAGAGCTATTGTATAAATATTTTAAGCAAACATAATTAAGGCATGATCAAAGCAATGGATCGAAGGCACCGGTATAGATATAGATATAGTACCTGTATCCGTAGTATATAAGTAGTAAATAATAGATAATAGACAGATAATATAATATATTATACATATTATGAAGACTAGAATAAGGAGGAAGCCCGTAAAAAAAACCGAAAATAAATCAGCGGAACAGTATTTTGGTCGAACCATGTTAAAGTTAAATTTCACACTGAGCTGTGAGAATAATCTGTAAATCATGCTATGCTGTAAACCATGATAAAGTAATGCTGTTATGATTTATAATAGACAATGTATTTATACATCGAGTAAAACACTAATGAATAAACTGAAGATACATGGTAATGACAACAAAACACGATACGTGTTAATAGCATGGATATAGATATTATATAGTATCCATAGCATCTGTGTCCGTGGTTAATAAAATGTCCCTTTTTGGAGGGAAATATTGATTTGATGAGGTTATCAGAGAGAGAAAAGAAAAACGCGGCACAGTTTACTTTATACAGTGACCCCACGGTTATAGATAATTCTCAGTGAGCGACACAAAAAGTCCAAAAATTAATTTTCGATAAACATAGTCAGTTACGTGGTTATGTCATGACAATTACGTCATTATATCACAAATTTTGTTTTAATCAAAGATAATAAACATAAAAAAAAAAAAACCTTGTATTTAAAATTAAAATCGTAAATCCTTGTCCCAAAATTTAAATAATTGAGTGTTCGTATGTATATCATTACGCGGGGGTAAAGGCACGGTCCCATCGCCCACGGGCGGCCTGGCACAATGGTGAAATCGTACGCCACGACAATAGATCAACGGAGTATCTGCGACTACGACGGAGTAGTAATTTACTTTCGTATTATTGTAATAAGCGGCGCTGCATCATCTCCACACGTGTAGTTAGTTTCTATACTAATGATAAGAAATTCGTACTATATGAATAGAGAGCATAGATAATAATAATTTTATACCAAATAACTATAATAATAGAGATAATAATTATTATCTAAGTTCTCTAGTTTTGGTAAAAATTGTTTTGTGTCTTTAAATTTTGTTTTACTGTTAAGCTTTAGTCGTAAAAACTAATAACATTTTGTAATGTTATGCATTGTAGATACCTAAATTGTAAATAATTTTTATATGTATATAGCAATATGGATCCTGATAATTTACCGTCGTTTTGTGAGTTACGTAAAAATCACAAATTAAAATTGAAATTGAAATTAGGCTTCTATGCTGCGCCTAGTAATTTGAAAATATTCTCGAAGGCAATCAAAGACGAACTTAATAAGTTAAAATTTACATACTGTTCTGAGTAAGTTTTTACCATTATTATTGGTATTTATTTTATAAATGCCTAATTTCAAATAAACTAATAACCATTGGTTATCACATCATTGCTGAAAAAAATGTCAAAATATCGAAAACAATATCTACTTAATGATATGAACTGTGCGAACAGACAAATTTCATAAACAAACAATTGTTTTTTAATGTAATACATAATTTAAATGGAAGAAACAAAATGAAGTACTCAGTTTAGTATCCATGCTCATTTTGAAATTTAAAAAAGAAATATTGTGAGTTTTTAAGTTTTAAGCACAGAATCTGAAAGTAAGAATCTAAAAACTATTGTTTTTTTTTATTTTGAAAGTTATAAAAAAAAAATACTGATTGAATATAATCAAAACACCATATTAAAAGACAAAAGATTCAATTTTATCCAATTACCTGAAAATATTAATTTGTGTTTGTTTTCAGTAACTATGTTATACCAAACCAATGCCAATTTAGTTATTATAAGTTTAGATACTAATTAATATTATAAATATATTATTTTTCAGTTTAAATGGATTGGTTATGGGATTTGGTAAAATAAAGTCCAATGAACTTATTCAAGCTGATTTTAGACATTGCATTAATGTGGCTATTACGTTTGATGTATCCATATTCAGACCACCGGTAGGATCTATAGTTGAATATGTTTACAACTAAGTATACTCGGGCCATCGAGATGATTCTACTCCTTGGCGCATCTACAATGGTAGCAGCGGAGCCATGGTAGCCATTGGCGATTTTCGGTGGTCTGCATTCAGGCAGGCTTAGTGATGAGAATGTGTGACAGCATACAAGTTTTAGTCACCGCCTAGTAGCTTTCTCTCAATGGCCCGAGTATATATATGTATATTAAACTTATACTAATAGTATTATGTTATCAACTTTTTACTATATATATATGTAAATACAACATATATGTACTACTTGTAATTGCCATTAGGTGTTAATATATAAGACAACATATTTTTCGGCTAAATATTAAAAAAAAAATTAAAATGATGCAATAACATTTTGTAAAATATTGTTGAAGCTGCAGGTAGATATCTAGGAATCTACAATAACTTAAATAATCAATAATTGTATTGTTTTAATTTTTAATAAAACTATCCCAACCTGTTTCTATTTATGCACTAAAACTAATTATAATTTTAGAGTATCATCTAAATTAAAACCCTTTAAAAATGCAATCAAAATTGATTTTAATTATAAGATCTATACATTTACAATAATAATGTGTCGACTGCATGATGGATGTTTTGTATTACATATTAAGCATAATTCAAATATTTAATGTCAAGCCAAATAATAATATCAATATTGAAATACATTTAATTCCAGTTTGAAACTCAATGTTATTATGACTTGATTTCTATGTTTAGATATCTTACAAAAATATTAGTATTGTAAATTATTAAATTCAATAAGAATAATTTAAAATTATTAAGCACTTCACAAAGTACGACTTTATAAGCCTTTCACATATCACTGGTTTAGAAATATTTATCTATACTAATGTAAAGATGTTTGATGTCATACAATAACAGAAATAATAATATATTGTTTCATGCATTGTGTATATCTTATGTAAGCATAATAATTCTACAAAGCAACTCATTGAAACTTTAACGCTATTTTATTACTTTTTTTCAGCTGTAGTAAATTAAACTAGTGATAATCATATTAGTTGTTTGGTGCACAATTTGTTCAATGTTTCAGTAGTACGACCAGAAGATCAACCATATGACCAATGGTCAGGATCTAAAATTAAAAAGGAAGACATAATTAATGTGAGACTATAATCCTTTGATCTTACTAAAAAACTTCCTCACATTATGGGCGATATTGTTAACAAGTAATATCAATTATTTTATTTGTATTCTTCTAATAGAATAAATTATATTTCTCTGAATATTTACAAATTTGCAGGAATGATCGATGTTCTAAACCTGAAAATGAACTAGACAACTACTCTTCACAATGTTCATCTGTGGATAAATCTATTAGTGATTTTATTAAATCAGTTGAAAGTATAAAAAAAGATTCAACTACTTCATTGAAATATTCATCAAGAGATTCTGGATCTTCAGATGAAATGCATATTACAACATCTTCTTTTAAAAACAAAAATAAAATCAAAATGTCTCCAATTTATAAGAAAACATCCTGTAACAACAGGAAAAATATCAATAGTCAATTATATAGTTCAACTCCACTTTCCAATTCTGAACATTCTGTAAATGGTATAACTGAACACATAAGCAAACGAATAGAACAATTACAAAAACATTTGGTTAAAAGTAGTGCAGGGAAATTGTCTATCAAACAGTTGAAAAAATATGAAAAAGATATTAACAGTTCAAATCAAAAAAAATTTAAATCAGATTCAGATAAAAAGGTAGTACTTAATATATTAAAAAAAAGTGTAAATATACCATCAATTGTACATTTTTCAACTATAGAAACTACAAAAAGAAATACATTTCAAGAAAATCGTAAAGAAGATTATAAAGATCAGAATGAACATTTTGTTAAAAACCAATCTATTATTTTACCATCAACAAACAACTCAAAAAGTAGTAGTAATCATAATGTTAAATTATTAGTGGAAGATGCAAACAAAAAGGAATATGTATTTAGAGAACTTGAAAGTGACAAACTTGATTTAATGGGATCAAAAATAAGTTTAATATGTGATTCAGATGACCAAAGCCCTGATGATAACAATTATACAAAACTTAACCACCATGTATCAAAACATTCAAATATAAAATATGATTTTGATGATAAAATAATTAAATCTACTTTAATTACTAAAAAAAGAAAAACATTTCAATCAAATAATAAAAAAGATTGTAAAAAGCAAATTGAAAATATGGTCGTTACGAAACAGTCATCAACAACATCTGATTCAGAGAGTAGTAGTAATGAAAATATAATACTACCAGTAAAAGGCTTAGACCAAAAGAAAAATGTAAATCATGAACCTGAAATTAACAAACTTGACTTAACAGAGTCAAAAATATGTATGTCCGATTCAGATGACCAAAGTAGCTCTAACGATACTATCTATACTAAACTTAAATATAATATATCAAAACCATATGATGAAAATTGTGATTCGGATCGTGAAAAACTGAAACATGATAACTCAGTTAATGTTCATTCTTCTTCTTTAAGTTCTAAAAACAGGAAAACTTTTCAATCAAACGATACAAATGATTGCAAAAATCAAATTATAAATAAAGTTGTTCAAAGACAGTCAACATCAACATCTGATTCAGAGAGTAGTAGTC